CCACCCAGTAGTGGGTGCGGGATCCCTGCGGTGCTGGTCCCTTGCCCCTAATGAGTGTGGCTCTAACACCCAGTAATGGCCCCCCCACAGGGCCCCCATTCCCACATAGTGTCTCTAATTTGTATTAAGTATCCCTTCCTCGCAGGCTTTCCTCCTCCCCTCTTTCCCCCTTCTCGTCTCTTTTGTAAGTGAATAATTTATGACACTTTTCATCTTCCTGGCTGTTGTTCCAGGCAGGCGGTGGTGGGATGCTCTGTGCCCTCCTGACGGCCACTCCCAGGCTGGGTGTGCAGCTCCATCCTTTTCCGGTGCCACGGCAGGCTGGAAATGGGACGGACCCACCCACGAGCTACAGGAACTCAGGTGTGGCAGAACCACTGCCATCACCCATGGAGTCAAAGCAGGCAGGGCAATGGTTGGTGGACCCATGACGGCCCATAGGGCATCAAAGGTCACTGGTGGGACATCACATGGCTGTGACACCCACAACTGCCCAGGCAGGTGGGCAGCAGCTGAGGGAGGGCTGCCCCAAGGCCGGCCAGGAGTCCCATGGCAGCGGGATGTGGGCAGAGCCGGGTGGACCCTGGCCCACTGCATGGTGCGGGGCTGCGGCGAGGTTTCCGTGGGCCGCTGGCTCTTACATAAGCTCATTGTTTCCTGAGTCAAAAGAGGTTTTGTCTCCGCTCTGGAGATGTGACAGGAGGAGGAACAATTTGCCCCATTCATCTTTAACTCTGCTCTGGAGAGTGGTGCGGTGGCCTGCGCCGGCAGAGACGTTAAACCCAACCACTTCCCCGCCGTAAAATCTCCCAGGGAGCAGGTGTTGGAAATCGCCCCTTCCCCTCCTGATCTCCTCAAATCCAGCGCCACAGAAATCAAGGATAATCCAGCAGCCTCTTCAAAATGAAAACGCTGAGCCCTGATTAATTCATTTAATAAGTGACTGATCCCCTCCTCCCCCAGCACCGCGGCCCAAGAAGCCATTTTGCTTCTTGCTCTCCTGGGCTGATGCCGGGGCGATGCCGGGGCTGCAGCACAGGCACAAGGCTGCTCCCACACAGCCACCTCACCAGCTTCACCACGTGTCTTGTCATGGTCTGGCCTCTGCAGAGGGGCCGAAGAGGGCAGCACTGCATGGACCTTGGGGCCTGCTGCCTCTCTTGGGCTCTCCAGCCTCACCAGTCTCTCCCTCACAGTGCCAGCGTCTGCTCCACCTCCATGCAGCCCAAGGAGCCCCAGCTCAAGGGGATTAAACAGGAGAACGAAATAGTCCCGTTTTCCAACTGAAAGATCAAACCGGTTAGAAGTGACATTGTTTTTGCAGTTCCATCTGCTTCAATTAGGGCACGGGGGTGGAGCAGGGGGGCTCCCAATTATCCTCATTAGAGGGGCTCCTCGTGCAGCCAAGCTCCAGCCGTGAGCAGGGAGCTCACCAGGCTCGTGCTGGTTGATAATGAATATATTCATGGCTGCACAGCCTGGCCTTGCTCGCCTGCTGCTGCTGGAGCCCTGCTCCTGACATGTGCTTTGGGCACTGCTGGGAGATGCAGAAAACTTCTCCAAGCTCTGGAGCTTGGTGGTTTTTGCCAGAATGGAGTGTAATCGACACAGCTCCACCACTGCTCAGAGTCCTGACACAGCTGCCAAAGCAACGCTGGAGCCTAAATCTGGTCCCAGCAGCCAAGGCAGGAGCGCTCCTGCTCCCGCTCCCCCAGGTCCCACTTGGCTGTGGGGTGCTCAGGAATGGCTGGGAGCTGGAGATACCCCAGTAAAACTGCCCAGGGAGCAGCCTCATCCCCATCCCTGTCCCATCCATCCCAACAAGGAGACTGCAGCTCCCTCCTGAGCTCATCTGCATTTTCAAGCTGGCTGAGGCCATTTCCACTCAGACCAAAGGACCCAGCAGTTTGAATTTGTGATCATTTCTCTTCTCACAGTACTGAGATTAACCCACCACTTTGTATGTGGAGCTCATGGGACAGCATAATGTGTAAAAATGCAGAAATGAGAAAATATCTGTAGCTCATGGGTTTAAAAACATCATTATTTATGTACATCTGTCCTTGTATAAACTAAACTGTTGTTTTTGTAGGTGCTGGGCATTGATATTAGATTCCCATTTAATTTCCTTATCCCACCTGGCAGGTTCCTAGAGACATCTCCCTCTTTGTTTGTAATATCTTTTTCCTGTAGCTAACCCAGGGTTCGTAAATGCAGCAGCATCGGGTGGAAACCTGACATGCAGCTGCTGCTGTGTGTGTTTTGTGTGACACAAAAGAAAACCTGAGACGTGGAGGAATCGGGGCGGTCCAGGTGTCACCCCCAGGATCCTGTCCGGTGTCAGCAGCCAGTGCAGGACTGTCACTGCCTATGGGAAAGGGGGGCCGGAGCTGGGGGCTGTGAGGAGGCTGGAGGTGGATGGGCAAGGGCAGAGTGGGATGCCCAGGGTGGAGTGGGGGTACTCAAGGTAGATTAGGGATGTCTGGGATAGGTTGGGGATGCTCAGGGCACCTGCACATTCTTCTCCCAGGTGATGCCTCTCTTGGTGCCCTTGCCTGGCAGGGATTTTGTGCCGTGGGGGGCTCCTAGCCCTGCTGGTGCAGGCAGCCATGCCAGGGGCTGCCAAGGAGCTGAGGGAGGAGGTCCCCACCATCATCCTGGCCACGGCGCCGATTGGCCCAGCGCTGTTGCTGTGGCTGTGCCCGGGCCGATGGCAGGGCCTGGCCTACAGCTCGTGCCTCCGTGCATGGGAATAATTCTCCTTAATCCTTCCGAGAGGCATCGCTGGATGAGACTGGAGCCTCCCTCTGGGAGCCCCATCTCCCCTGGCGCAGAGAACAGTGCTGGGGGAGGGACAGCCGCCATCCTGGGCAGGGAGGCCTCTGTGCCCCCGGCCACCTGCCCGCTCCTGCTGGGGCCACAGCCAAGCCAGCATTGCTCCTGCACCCATGCTGAGGGACAGCAAAACCCTGGGAGGCTCAGCACCAGACCAGTGCCCTGGGCCAGGAGGGGTGTGGGGGCAGGATGTGGCCATGCCCCCAACATCCTGCCCCTCCAGATGCAGCAGGAACCTGTGGACATGGTCTGGGATGCAGCCGCCCACTGCAGCGCCAGCGTTGCAAACACTGGGACAGGAGACCAGAGCTCCTTTTGGGGAGGTGGCTTGGGAGGGTGCCCTTGGATAAGTGCTGGCTGCTGAGCCCCTCTGGAGCCCCGCACTCCCTGGCACGGAGAGCTGGGACCAAGGGCTTTTGGCAGGACCCAGCCCCGTGGTGGGGCGGGTGACGCCTGCCACCGGCCCGGAGCACCCGGCACATAAACACCACCCCAGGGATTAGGTCAGCTCTGGTCATCGCTCAGACGAATAAGTGGATCAGCACAAGGGAAAGGAGGGGGAGGGAGCTCTGCCGAGCAGGGAGCTCCAGTAGGGACCTTTTAATTTAGGGGCTTGTGGGGCCAGGAGCTGCCTTGGCGCAGGCGCGAGGCTGGGCAGCGAGCATTGCCGCCCGTGGCGGGGTGACTGGGGACACGCGGCAGCAGCCCCGGCCGGCCCCACAGTCGGCTTGGATGCCTGAGTGTCCTCAAGTGTGTTTATTTTAAGGGATACAAAGTCCTGGGCCACCGCAGGGTCACCACAGCACTCGCCCAGCCTGGCAGGAAAGTTTCCCGCAGGTGCTGGCAGGGGGAGGAGGAGGGTGGATGGCAGCAGCTGGGCACCATCCTGCCACCCTGAGCCTGCACACCTTTGGACCTGGCGCCCATGTGCCAGGAGCCATCGGCACGGGGCTGCGGCCGCCCCACAGCCCCAGCCCATTGTCCCACGGTGGCCAGGCCAGGCGCAGGGACGGCCATCTGCTCGTCGCTGCCGACAGCTTCTTTGTTCACCGCCCGGCGCACGCTGGCGCAGGAAGCGGCTCCCACGTGCTTCGCCCTTTCCCTCTCGCGGAGGCACCTAATGAAATAAAGGATTTACTGCGGCGAGGGGGAGGGAAGGGAACGGGCTGAGCAGTTTGAAATGTCGTGCCTGGCCCCAGGGCTGGGCTCCCTGGCCAGGTGCAGGAAGGGTGGGTGCAGGCAGTGCTGGGCTCTCAGCCACTGCTGGGCTGTTCTTTGGGAGCCGCCATGGTGGGAGCAGGCACAGGCAGGGGGATGGCGCCAGGGCCTGGAGTGTGAATGTAGCCAAGATCTGTGCACTGTGTGTCTGTGGCACTGGCATTGCCAGAGCCCTGACCTGTTTGTGTGGTGGGGAAAAGGCCTTGCATGTGCTGTGGGGATGGCTCTAGGGCGTGTGGAAACTGGGAATGGGAGTGTCCATGTAGAGTGTAGGTCACTTGGGCTTTGAGTGAGACAGGAAGGACATCGTGCAGCCCCTGTCCCCTCCTTGCAGCAGCATGCCAAGGAGGAGTCTTGCTGTGTAGTGTGCCAGCTGTGAGCAGAGCTCCTAATGCTACTTCCAGGCACCATGGATTCAGGGTTTTCCCACCCCAGTGAGCCCATCATGTGTCATCCCCATAGCCCAGTGCTCTGCAGAGCTGTATGTCCCTTAACCACTGCTGGAACTTCTCACTTCCCACCACACCCAGCCCCAAACTGGGCCAGGAGGATGCAGGGGACCTGGCAGGGAGAGGCAGTGCCCCTTTCTCCTCCCTGAAATGCAAACAGAAACCGAAAAGGACCAAATTCCAAAGTTCTTATTCAAGCCCAAGCACCATGGCCGAGGGCGGAGGCGTGGGGACTGTCACCTGCAGAGGGATGGGTGGCTCGGGCATGGGGCACAGCAGCACCTGGTGTGCTTTGAGGGATGAGGGAGTGGATCCCTGTGACAATGGACTTGCAGGCTTGCACACCAGCAGTACTTCCAACTGCTGCATCCCAGGGCGCAAAGCACAGCAGTGCCAGCCTGGCTCCCAGTGGCAATTCAGCCAGAAAGTCAGCCCAGAGCAGCTTCGGGAGGGTGGTCCTAGGGTGCCAAGGGAGTGACCACACATCCTTCCTTGCAGATGACTCCTCATCAGAGAGCTGCAGTGGGAATGGCTCCTCCACCCTGAACCCCTCCACCTCCAGCAGCACTCAGGGCGACAGCGCCTTCCCCGAAATGAACGGCAATGGCACCGCAGCCCCCATGGACTTCACCGCCTCTGCTGATGACCAGCCCATCAACCTCTGCGACAAGCTCACACCTGCCCACATCACCCCTTCCTACCAGTCTGACAGCTGCAGTGCCGACGGGCTGCGCAGCAGGGTCAAGTACGGGGTGAAGACCACAGCAGAGGTATGGCCTGGGATGGTCTGGGAAAGCCAGGGACATGCCCCACGCCCCCGCTGCCCCAGAGCTGGGCACTGCAGAGGGCTCACCTCACCCCTGACCAGCTGCACCACAGCCACCATGTGACGAGGAGCCCATTCATGCTGGGTCAGGCAGTGTTTCCTGCAGGATCAGGCAAAGCTGTGACCCCCACCAGCCAGAGCTGCCATTAGGCCACCAGGTTATCACAGGCTCGCTGAGGCCACCATGCTCCCCCCTGCCCAAAGCAGGCAGGAGGTGACACACAGAGGAGCCTGGCCATGGGTTCATCTTCCTGGGTTGCATGGGGGCCTTTGGGAGAGGGGACAGACATAGTGAGACAAGGAGAAAGGGCAGGTGCATGAGGTGAGAGCTGCTGGTGGTAACCCCTGTCTCCTCTCAGTCCCCCCCGTACAGCTCTGGCAGCTATGACTCCATCAAGACGGAGGTGAGCGGCTGCCCCGAGGACCTGACTGTCGGCAGGGCCCCCACAGCTGATGAAGATGATGATGACCACGACGACCATGAAGACAATGATAAGATCAATGACTCAGAGGGGATGGACCCAGAGAGGCTAAAGGCCTTCAATGTAAGGAGAGCTCCACAGGGAGGGCGAGCCCACCTGCCTTCTGTCTCAGGGTTCCCACCAACTGTCTTCTCATTTGCAGATGTTCGTGCGCCTTTTTGTGGATGAGAACCTGGACCGGATGGTTCCCATCTCCAAGCAGCCCAAGGAGAAGATTCAGGCCATCATTGAGTCCTGCAGCCGGCAGTTCCCCGAGTTCCAGGAGCGGGCACGCAAGCGCATCCGCACCTACCTCAAGTCCTGCCGTCGCATGAAGAAGAACGGGATGGAGATGGTGAGTGGCCACCCCAGCACCCTGCCCCTTGTCCCAGTGCCCAGGGCAGCACTGAGCATTCTCTCTGCTTGTGTTCCTGCAGACCAGGCCCACGCCACCTCACCTAACCTCAGCCATGGCAGAGAACATCCTGGCCGCTGCCTGCGAGAGCGAAACGCGGAAAGCAGCCAAGAGGATGCGGCTGGAGATCTACCAGACCTCCCAGGTATGGTGCTGGCAGCTGGGGGTGGGCGAGGAACAAAACTGGCAGTGTCCTATGCAGGGGGTCAAAAGTCTTTCTGAAAGTCTGAGGGGCTGCAGAACAGAACCCCGTGGTGTGTCCTGAGACTCAGGCCAATGGAGATGGGAATGCTGGTTTGGGTTGGCCACACTGCAGCTGCAGGACACCCTGCAGGACATCCTGCAGGACACCCTGCACTGTCCATCCTGCTGGCCACAGAGGCCAGCCAGGCTCCTTGCTGGAGCAGGTCTGTGTTTCCCCTGTGCAGGATGAACCGATCGCCCTAGACAAGCAGCACTCCAGAGACTCCACAGCCATCACCCACTCCTCCTACTCACTGCCAGCTTCATCTTACTCCCAAGACCCGGTCTACATCAATGGAAGCCTGAACTACAGCTACCGTGGCTATGGGTCCCTGGGGGGCAGCCTGCAGCCCCCTGCATCCCTCCAGACAGGCAACCACAGTAATGGTAAGTGGCTGTGCCAGCACGGGGAGCCCACCCTGGCATTGCCTCTGCCCTGTGCCTGGGCAGTGCACCAGGGGCTCCTGGCATCCCCCGCTGTGGGGTAGGGATGGGTGCTGGAGGAGAGGCAGGGGCTGCTCCCGCAGCTCCCACAGAACCCAGTCATGGCAGCACCTCTCCCACTGCTGCACAGAGCTGCTCCAAAATCTCCTCTTGTCCCTTCTGTCTGGCAGCTCTGCTGATGTCATCAGCAGGTGGTTGGTTAATTGTTGAACTGCTCTTGGAAGGACGGTTTGGGTGGCACTGGTGGAGAGAAGGAGTGTCACATAAAAAAAAGGAGAATCTGTACCAGATTCTCTGTTACTTATTAACAGGGGCGGCACCTATCACTGCTCTGATCTCCTGCTGGTATGAGCCCTTCCGCTCTCGGGGACAAGGTGGGGGGCACAAACACAGCTCAGGAGGGCTCTGAGGGGCTGGGGACTGCCTGGGAACAGTTGAGATAACAGGACTGATGCTGCAGGGCAGGAAGACTGAAGAAGAGCATAGGCAGAACTTGAGATTAGGAGCAAATGAACAGAGCAGAGTATCCTGGGCCAGAGCAGGGCTCCAAGCTGGTGACTCGCCCACATCTGGAGTGAGAGGTATTGGATGAGACTAAGTGTTCCCTCTGCCTCTGTCCTGCAGCAGTGGTGGCAGGAGGGGCTGGATCCCTTGCTAGTCCTTGTCCAGTCCTTCTGCAATCCCTGGGTTACCATTGCCTGTCCTGGTGTGCTCTGGGCTCCTGCCCCAACCCACCCCGACGGGAGCCAGGATTTGGAAGGATGTGATTTCCGGGGGCCTGAGAGATGCCTGTCTGGGATTAACTCTTATCATCCCTTCCTAATGCTTCTTAACCCTGAATAAAGATCCTGTCCCGGCCTCCAGCTGCTGAGACCTAATCCTCACAGCAATGGTTCCTCCCCAGAACAGCACAGGCACCCGGTCCCCCACTGCTGGGCACCCTCCTTTGGCTCTTCCATGTCAGGCAGTGAATGTGCACAAAGGTTCTTGAGCAGTCCCAGGAACAGCAAACAGGCCCAGGGTGCAGCACCCAGCAGCACCTCTCCTTTCTTTCTAGAGGATTTTTAAACCTCTGTTTTGCAGTTGTGTTTTTTGCAAGCTCTTTCCCAGTCCTTCAGAGGGAAGAGCACTCTGCAAGGAGCTGCATCTTCTCCTCCCTCTGAGCAGAGGCCCCACAGGGCTTTGCTGCCCAGAAGTGTCTTCACCCTCCATCCCCCACCTCAGGCAGTTCTTGCTCAAGCCCTCATCCCTGCTCCCAGCTCCTTCCCCCTTGGTGAGCCGGGAAACAGGCTCAGTTTACTGCTGCCTTTTCTGTCCAGTGAAATTGCTTTCGCATGAGAGCCTCCTCCTTCTCCTCCTCCTCCTTCTCCTCCTCCTCCCCCGCTTTGAAGCTCTGGTTCTCTTGGCATGGAACACTTCTGCTGGTGCTGCTCCTCCCGCAGCTCCAGCACTGCTTTCCTTGAATGCTTTCCATTCCACCCAGGGCGGTGAGCTCCCCTCCCTGCCACCATCACCAGTGGCACCCACCTGGACTTGGGGGCAGCTGAACTCTCCCATCCCAGTTTGCAAACAGCCACAGCACCCAGTCCTTGCTCTGTGTCCATGGTGTCCCATGGCTGTGTCAGGCCACCCAGCAGGAGCAGCCATCCCAAAGCTTTCCTCCAGCATCACCAACAGCTCCAGCCGCCTGTGGCACTTCAGCTCACAGTCCAGGGATTAGTTCAGTGTATTCTCTCCTTCCTTCCAGGCTGCAGCCTCGCCAGCCTCCTCTCCTTGACTATCACATTTCCAGTACATCTCTTGGAATTTCTCATTTCCAATTGATAATGTGTTTCTTGCTCTTTGTTTTGCTTCTCTTGCTTAGTTCAACATGAAGCTAAGTCCACTTTTTCCCCTGCCTTTACCTGCTGGGGTCACTTGTCAAGATAAACCAGGGAAGCACAGTTCAAATGAGATTTTACTCCCCATATGCAGAGGGAAAACCAGAACCTGGAAGGCAATTTTGATGGTGCAGGTGCCAACAGGAGCTGGCTTACCTCCCAGCAGACCCTCGCTGCACAGAGCTGTGGGCCAGGCTGCAGGATGGGATTTTTGTCATGTTGGCTCTGAGACATCTTTATAGAATCTCAGAATTGTTTGTTAGGAAAAAGCCTTAAGTTGACTTCACTCCAATCCCCTGCCACAGGCAAGGTAGAGAAGGTTGCTCCAAGCCCCATCCAACCTGGCCTTGAACACTTCCAGGGATGGGGCAGCCACAGCTTCTCTGGGCAGCCTGTGCCAGGGCCTCTCCATCCTCACAGGGAGCAATTTCTTCCCAATATCCCATATAAGGCTGCCTTCTGTGAGGATGAAGTTGTTGCCCCTTTTACTGTCACTCCACACGCTTGTCCAAAGTACCTCTGCAGCTCTCTCAGAGCCCCTTTAGGCACTGGAATGAGCTCTGAGGTTTCCCTGGAGTCTTCTCTTCACCAGGCTGAATAGCCCCAATTCCCTCAGCCTGCTCCCCTGCCAGAGGTGCTCCAGCCTTTGGAGCATCTCTGTGGTCTCCTCTGAACCTGCATTCCTGTTGCAGAGGCAGTGAATGGCTGCTCTGGTGTCTGTGGAAGCAGGAGCTCCTCACGTTATCTGGGGCACCGTGGGGACCTTTCAAGTGCAGCAAAGGCCTGGAATCACAACAGGATGAGAATGGGAAAGGTTGCTGTGCCTGAACTTCCCTCTCACTTTCCCTTGGCAGGTCCAACCGATCTCAGCATGAAAGGTGGGGCCTCCAGCACAGCCCCCTCCAACAGCACCAGCCGGGGCATGCAGGCGGCCCAGCTCAGCCCCACGGAGATCAGCGCCGTGCGGCAGCTCATCGCCGGATACCGGGAGTCGGCAGCATTCCTGCTCCGCTCTGCAGACGAACTGGAAAACCTCATTTTACAGCAGAACTGACTCCCCGTGTCTGCATCGCTCCTCGGTCGACAAGACAATTTATACCTGCTAGAAGGAGGCTCCCGGCGGTGTCCTGCTCAGGACCACCATCGTCCTCCCGCCACGCGGTGGGCACATGTAGTTTTAGAAGGTGGGATCCAAAAGACCTGTTTTCTTTTACACTCCAAGCACCTGGGACTTCAGGCACAAGGACATGTTTTGGAACCGTACCAACACCCGTGCCTCCGACCGACCAGAAGCCAACCCTGCAGCTTGGAAGGATGTGGGACTCTGAAGGGCAGAAGGGAGCCTGGGGAGGTTTGGGGCTGCAGATGTATTTAGAATAACCTTTGTGGACCCAAATGTTAGATTCCCATCCCTGGATAATTTCCAAGTCTTAGGTGAGCTGAATCACATATTTATTGAGAAATGGACCCTCCTCTCCCCTTAGTAATTTATTTTTCTGAAAATGGATTCTTTTGAGTTTGTACAGATTGCCAGTTTTTTGTCTGTCTGATCAGAAGGAATTTATTCCTGTGAAATAACACATTCCATATCACTACACTACTAATTTCCAGGCAGCTCTGCCTGTTTCTCTGGTGAACCCTTGTCCCACAGGGAGCAAGTTTGCCATCCAGTCCTTGACATCGAGGCTGCTCAGCCTCCAGTGAGCGTAGGTGGGAGCTGAACAGCAGCGCAAGCGTCCTGCTTAGGCCTTTGTTCTATGGGGTCCCGTAGCAGCAGTGGGGTCTGAACCTCCCGCAGAGACTCGGCAAGCTCAGCAGACCTCCGGCTGGAAGGACATCTCGCACTCATTAAAGTCATTGCAGATAAGAGAAGGAAGGAAGAAAGGAAGGAGATAACTGAGAAACACTGTCTTGCAGTCGCCATCCGTACTCTACCTCACACTCCATTGTGGGCTTCTTCCAGGACTGGCGGCGCCGGTCCTGGGGGACAGCGAGTGTTGCAGACATGGGGATCGTGCGAGGAGGCTGGAACCTCCGGCTGGGGTCCTGCTGCGCCCGGCCGCGCGCTCCGCTCCGTCCGCAGCCAGCCCCGGGGAGCACCGGGGGATGAACCGCCCGGGACCCGCGGGGGTGTGAGGCAGGGCAGCCCCAGGGCTCACCCCAGAGGTGAGCTGGAGTGGTGACCGCCCTCTTCTGTGGGAGAGACGGGCAGCACTGAGCAGCAGAACTGACAAAGTCCTCTCCGGGGCCCAGGATCCTTCCCCCCTCCCTGCTCACAGTCCTGGAACAAGCCCACAGTTCCCAAAGTGTGGAAGAACCGTAGTCCGATGACCATTCTGCCCTGTTTCCACCCCCCACAACGATGCACTTCGTTTTGCTCAGTGCAATACCTACTGCCAGTGCTGCTAACCCAGGGACCTCGCTCCGGCCAGGGGTGCTGAGCCCAGCCCAGCAGTGCAACGTGCTCTGGAGCTGTGCAGAGACCAGCGAGGGTCCCGCTGCTCCCTGTCCCCCGCAGCCCCCCCTCTTGGCTGAAGCCCACACACCATGAGATAGAAATTTGAGAAGTGTAAAGCTATTTTGTAGGTAGAAACTTTCTTGCTTTGGAGCCAGTTTTTATCTTATTTTTTGGCCACTCGGAGCCAGCGGCCAGGGGCTGCTGCTCCAGGGGCCAACGCTGGTGGCACAGGCTTGAGCAGCCGCTGGTCCGGCCAGGAGCAGGCCCGGGCAGTTCCCCTGTACCCTCCGTACCCCATTATGCTCCACACACTGGAAGAGAAGCAAAACTTTACCCCGCTCTTAGTCTCAGAACAGAATAAGCTGCTGGCTCCTGAGGCCAGGTGTGCCTGGCCCCACAGCAGAAGGGATCAACCATTGCATTGACTGTTTTCCCCAAACCTTAAACTTTCCGTAGCATTTGGAGAAAAGGGACCCAGCCCCTCGCCGCAGGGTGCAGCTGAGGGGTCAGTGCAGAGACGAGGTGATGGTGGCTCTCAGACCTGAGCCCATGCTGGACCCGGGAGCATCGTGGCCACACCCGTCCCCTCCTGCCCGCAGCAGCGGAGCGTGGGGAGGGGGCCCCGGAGACACCAGCCCCCAGCCAGGGCTCAGACTTAACGCTTTCCCCAGCACTTCACAAGCCTGCTTGGTTTGTCCACTGCATCCTCCCATACTTGGAATTTATGTAAATATTTATTTTTGTGTGAATACCATGAAGTAACAAACCTTTGACAAAATCTGTAACCGCAGCCATTTGTGAAAGTCTTACCGTTCAGGCAGGAGAGGCAGAGACAATCGCTGTCCCGGGATTCTCCCTGTCCGTGGTCTCCCACCCACGCCGGTGCCTCCTGCCTCGGCAGAGGCAGCAGAACCTTTAGCCATAAGTTTGCCATCAGTTTGTACCGAAACAGAGATAGCCCGGGGGCACACGGACAGACCACCAACAACCACAGTTGGGTTAAGTTTTATTTATCCAAGTCATTCCTGATCACCTCTGAACCTGTCTCGGCACATGTGGAAGTTCAGGAGCTCTCACACGTGGTCAAACTGCTGTAGAGGACACCGAGGCCGCGTTGCGAAGGAGGGTGCCCAACACCGCCCTGTCCCAGCACCTGATGTTCATAACCTGCAGCTGAATGGTACAGACTCAGATTCCCAAAGCCCTGCTGACAGCCACATCTGGGACAAGTTGTGAAACAAACAGGATTGACTTCAAATTTCTGTCAGGGATCTTTTTTTTTTTAATTTTTTTTTTTTTCCTTTTTTTTTTTTCTTTTTTTGTGAGCCACAACGTTCTGGTTCCTTTAGCATGAGCTCCACAGACATCTCCGTGCTCTGCAGCTGCTCCGTGCTCCACCGTGGCTCCCTGTGCTCCAGGACTGTTCACAGCCACATTCCTGTGCTCTCACTGGGCAGGACGGGGTCAGGAATTGCTAGTCCAGGTTCTCAACAAGAAGGAACAAGCAGGAGCAGAATACACCGGCTTCCCAGATATCTGAGAGGTGGAAGGAGAATGCTGGGTTAGCGAATGGTCTGGATGGTCTTGGGTTTGGTTAAGAAAAGCTGATCACTGGTCGAAAAAAGAGATTTTTATTTTTTTTTTTTTAAATTTAATTTTATTTCAACACACCCATCCTGCCCTGGATGTGCAGTTCCCATGACACTGTTTCTCTATGGGAGAACGTCCCCGGGGTTGTGAGCAGATAAAACTTGTACCTCCCCGATCCCAAGGGCCACTTCCCTCCCGGAGCGGCCGTCGGATTTAGTACCAGTTCATGAAAAAAAAAAAAAAAATGCTGCTTTGAACTCAGAGGGTTAATATACTTTTGATTTGTAATTTTTTGTAAAACTTTTTACAAGGTAGCATAGTATTTCTCCAGACACCAACTACAATCCGTCCATGGTCTGATTTTTATATAATTTAGTGGTGCTTTAGAAACTTTTGTTCGGTTGTTTCGGAGCTGCAGAGCTCAGTTCTTCGCCTGTATCTACCTAAGACCAATGTGAACCTTTGTATTTTTGCTCCTAATTTTGGACTCAGTGAAAGTGTACTGTTTACATGTACAGAACTCCCGACCCCGTGTGTTCTGCCAGACCTGCTGTTGAAGAGGAAGCTGCCCCTCACCCAGTTCGTCTGCTTAACCCAGCCACAGCCTCACCCACCCACCGCCACGCGCCCGCCCCGAGGGACACCCCACCCACCCCAGACACCCTTTAAAGCAATTTTGGGTTTTGCACAAGCTGTTGTACTTTTTTTTTTTTTCCTTCCTAGTTGTACGGATCGGCTGCAATTCCAATCGGGAGCTGATCCGGAGCTCTGAAGCACCAGATCTGGGCAGTGCTGCTGCCTCCCCATCCTCCTCCTCCCCATCCTCCTCCTCCCCATCCTCCTCCTCCTCATCCTCCTCCTCCCACACAGGCGGGAGGGCGGCGCTGCCCGTAGGGTCCAGCTGATGTAGGGGAGCAGTGGAGGGAGCAGGGGGAAGACACTCCTGAGCAGAATTGGGAATACTTTAGGGAAGGGGGTGAGCTCGCCCAAGCCAGCCGCTGGCTTGGGGTGGAGGGTGGGAGCTCAGTCCCACGGGAGGCTCCCAGCGAGGCAGAAGAGGCTCTTTGGGAAGCTGGAGCTTTCCCGAGGGCTCAGATAGAAAGCGTATGGCACTTAATCCAGCTTCTAAGGTGACACTTTATTGCTTAATCAATTGATTCCTTTGGAAATGATATTTTTGCAGATAGGCACCTATGCAACTTCATGTGGCTCTTAAGCAGATGAGCACTTCCTCCTCAACGAGCTTGATAAGAGTTATTTGTGTTATATACTGTGGATTTTTCCAGTAAATGTGGCTTAATATTTTAATTCTTAGAATGTGTGTCTATTATATATGTGATGCAACTTAATTCTGTTCTGTTTGTGGAATGATTAGCACAGGCCAACTCCCTGTCCCCTCACTTAACAAAGACCAATGAGCTGTTAATCGAGCTGTTATCTCCATGGTATTACTTGCTAAATGCACTGATTTCATAAGTATGTGGAATCCTTTTTTTTTTTTTCTTTTGAATCTGTATATCATATATAAGACTGAATCTACTTAATAAACACTGTATAACAAAAAGGGCTTTCTCCTCCACTGTCGAGCCCCGCTGGGTGCTGCTGGCCCCAGTGCTGCCCCTCGCCCCAGAGCGTGTGCGAGAGGTCGGTGCCATCAGTCACCAGAGCGGGTTCTAAATTTAGGTGTTAAAAGGAAGAAAAAAAACAAAAACAAACCAAAACATCTCTCAGTCCTGTTGACATAAGCTGTGCTTTCCATTCCGTAACAGACAGCGTGGGTACCAGAGAGAGCAGTGGCAGCACTCAAAAAGGGGGCAAGGCACCAGTTTTATGCTTAACTTATATTTTGACAAAATTAATTTTGTGAAGTGTCTGGTTTTTGTGAGAAAAAAAAAGAAAAAAGAAAAAAAAAAAAAAAGTTTTCATTGAAGTTTGTGCAAAGTTCTCCCTCATGGAAAATACTGATTTTTCGTTATCAGCTTTATTCACTAAGTATAATAAACCTTTGCATCCATAAACGTTCCTCTTCAAGCGCTGTATAGATACCATCTCCTGTTTGATCGTCAGGAGATCCAGAGGGTCCAAGGGGTTTGCAGCTTGCATGGAAATGCAGCTGCCCGGGGGTGTGGGGATGCTGGCGGGGGAGGCAGCTGGGCCGCTCCTGCCCGGGATCTGCCGCGGGGAGCGAGGCCGGGAGGACCCGCCCGGCTGTTTGTGTTTGTAAAGGATCACCTGGGCCCGCACATCCCCAACGGAGCACGCACAGGATCCATTCCTGTGGCCCTGACACCGTCGGGTCCATGACTGAGCCTCTGGCTGAGCTTTGCTTCCAGATTTCCGGGGGAGCACGGGATGGGTGGGCAGTGCCGGGCCACACCAGCTGCCATCACCCGCTGAGGCTTCCACAGCCCCTGGCCGGACTGGCTCACGATGTCCCCATGCCTGCAGGTGGCCCCGCCGAGCACGGCACAGCCGGAGCCAAACAGCAGCCGGGCTGGCACAGAGAAAATCTGGTATTTGGCACACAGATACCAGAAAAAGGAAAAAAAAAAAAAAAAAAGGGAAAAAGTGTATTGCTCTTTGTGAAATTCTGATGTTTAATGGGTTTTACTCTTGAAACACCCAAGCTCCCCTGTTCCAGAGGTAGCTAATCCTGATGCCATCACCCCCCACCCCAATAAAACAGGGAAGGATTAAATACTGAGTTTTAAAGCTTGGCTAAGTAACAACTCTACTCATTTTTTGCATTCCCCATATTTAGATTACTCAAGTATTCGGTGTGCAGACAGCCTGCCAGAGTCAAAACATCACTGAACCACCAAAAACGATAAAAGCCTTTTTTCACCCCAAATGCTGGTGCCAGACCATCTGCTGCCCCAGCCCGGCTCCTGTGCGAGGCCACCGCTGCCGTTCTGCAATGGCAGCGCTGTGGAATGGCAGAAGTCAGGAATTGTGTCACCACAGGGATCTCAGCACTCCCACAGCCCCAGGCAGGAGATCCCTGCTTGCCCTGCAGACGTGTAACATCATGTTATTTCCTTACTGCCCAGAAAGGAGAAAGGACCCGGCCGGAAAGTGAGTTTTCAAGTAGTTTCAATAAATTGTAATTGGTATTACATTTATGCTCCTGAGAAACATTTTTAGATCCATTTATCCAACAATGAGGGCAGTAAGAGCAGGACCTGCCCCGACACTGGGAAAATACTCAGTGCTGCTGCCCACAGACATCACCCCAGCAGGGCAGGGATCCCCTGTGACTGTGGGGGGGCCCCACAGGGTCCCACAACCCCCCCGTGGCCCTCAGAGCCTTCAGCGTGTCCATTCCCAAGAGCCTCACGGCAGCTCTGCAGGAGCTGCACCATCTTCAGCGCTCTCTAAGTGCATAAAACCAGATTTAACAAAGCCAAGCAGCAATACAGCCCCTCCCCTTAGTGACTTGAGCAGAGCTCTGGAACAGCTGCAGTTAAAAGAGAGGAAAGGAAAAGCCACCTTGCCTTAGAACGGAGGAGGATTTCAGAAAAAGGACTGAAACCACACAAGCTGATTTTACAGTGTTTATTTTTCCAATAGCACAAGGGACAGACACGAGCAGGCCCCCCCCCCGAGGGCTCTGCCCCCCAGACCAGTCCGAGCTGAACACTGCAGTGGCCCCCAGGAGGCAGAGCCAGCCCCCTGCTCCGCTCCCCATCTTTGGTAAGCAGGTTCCACACCTCCGCTGGCCCCACCGGCACCGCAGCCCAGCCCAGGCTGGGGTGCCGCTGCACCGGGCTCTCACTGTCATGGGATGAGGCTGGTGGATGCATTGAGGATAAAACCATCTCAGGGACTGAACTTGTTCCACCCCTCATGATTGTGGCTGAAAGAGGAACTTGCACGGCTGAAAGAAAGTGCATGGTGAAGGGAGGTAGGATGGAGCTGGAAAAGGGACGAGAATTAAAAAATGAAAATAAACTCCCTAAAATTCTTGCTACTGCCTGCTTGAATAAGCCAGCGGCTTCTCCCCCTCACTGAAGCAATTAACTCTTGACTAAGAATTGCTCCAAAGAGGAAGAGAATTGCAGTTTTGCTCTCCCTCTCTGGATGCACATGGATGTTCATTCACCTCCCTGCAGTGCAGGTACAGCCATGCCCTGGGAGCTCAGGTGCAGCAACAACTGGCAAGAGCTTAAATGAGCAACCGGGGAGTGAGCTCGGCTCAGCAAATCCCACCTGGTCATCCTTGAGCCTGCACAGCACAGTCCACCCGGGCACCACGGGGAGGCCGTTGGAACCCAGACCCCAGTGTGGTGAGCCTCACGTCAGGCAAGACAGAATACAGTGGCTCTGACAATAACTAACACCACTTTAATGCAATACTGCTGTAGAGCCTGGAAATCCAAGGAAAAAAAAAAGACCCCTTTATGCTCTATGTACATTACATCCATTTACAGAGTTGGCCAGTACTGTGTACAACATATAAATATATGATCAAACAGATGCAGAGAGGATACTTACAGGAGCCAAATAATTCACTTTATACATCCAAGAATGAAAATATAAAAAAAGGAAAATTAAAAAAAGGAAAGAACACTGCTTTAAATGTTAGGTGATAGTCACACAGATGCACAGCTTGATGCTTGATGCTCAGCTGCTGTGGGGTTTCAGGTCCTCACCACAAAGCTGTAGTGCAGAGCTCTCTGCCCCCATCACTGAGCTCCAGGGAACCTCCAGTGTTCCACAGCAGTTTGTGGAAGTTGGCCAAAGGAGGCAGGCACAGCCACTGGGCCAGTTCAGCCAGGAACAGTTCCCTGGCCACACAGCTTCCTGCAGGCCAGCAGAAGGCATTTGCTTGGCACTTGCCCCGAATTTTTTTCCTTCTTGCATCCTCCACAAGGGCTGTACACGGCTCCACAACCACGTGCAGAACACATCCTGGGCACCACATCCCGCTGTAGCATCCAAAGACTGCACAGGACCATCCCTGCAGGGCAGCTCTCTGCTTACACTCACCGCACAGCAGCACTTCCCACACAAACCAGGAATGGAGATGGCAGAAGGGGAGAGTGGAAGACTGTAGGGCCTCACCTTGTGCAGCCCCGAAACAGCAAACACCATCTTCCAGTTCTTTTGGATGTAAGGATTTCCTCCACAGAGGGCCCAGGGATTGCCACAGCGAACGGCCTCTCCCCCTGGCATCAGCCTCAGCGCCAAACCAGAGCACAGCTGGAATTTCCGTGGTAGCAGGAAGCAGCAGGATCACTCCCGTGGGGCACAGCCCACCCAGAGCAGGGTGTCCCCGTGAGCAGGAACGGGCTCTGCACTGTCGATCTCCGTGGGAAGGCATCTCAATGTTCCTCACCAAAACAAAGTGTAACAGCATTTCTACTATGAACAGAGAGTACTTTGTGTACTTTGTGTACAGGCGTTAGGATCAGTCGTTATCAAAATACACACACTGAATATACAACCTGTCCCATGGCCATAATTTATTATCTCACCACAAGGCACAATACACAGAGCTTTGAGGGTCCTATACAGTCGTCGTGGCAGAAGGCGCCGCAGCCTTTGCACATGATCATGGCTTTGAGGCTGCACGAGCACTGGAACGAGATCTCCTCGACGCTGCTGCTGTCAGCAAACATCTGCACAGCCAGGGCTGTGTTCCGGCTCGCAGCAAAGTTCGCTTTGTGGGTGAGCTGCACCACGCTCCCAGCAAGGCCTCGGGGGAAAGCCGGAGTGTTGGATGAATAATTAAAGCTGGTGGAATTAAGCTGCAGCTTTGAAAGCTTCCCATAAAATGCTTGCTTGATATTGAGCTGAGAGGGGATGGATGAAGGCTCCAAAGGGTGACTCTGTCCTTTTCCTGGATCCCTTGAAAACTTAAAGAAGGGCCAGTCCATGACCAGTGGCTCTCTTTGTGTGTGCCCAGCCAGTTCCGTGGGCTGCTGGGCCACATCCCTCCGGTTCTCCGCATTACTCTTGGCTGGGCTGCCACACATCAGCACCTTCTCACTTCTGATCCCTCCCGGGGTGCTGCTGCGCTGCTTTGAAGTCCATTCCTCCCTGGCAGCTGGGATTCCTTCTCCCAATGCACAGCCCTTGTCCAAGGGAATCTGTTTGCTGGGGGACAAGGTTCCCATGGCTGAACTGTGATCCAAAGCCCTGGAATGATGCAGCCTCACACTGGGGTTGGAAGGAAAACCAGAACCAAAGAGCTTTTTGCCTTGAACCCCACCGTAATTTTTATTGACCAATGCACCTCCTGTCTGGTTTGGTCCAAGAGAAGTTACACCTGGAGATAAAAACAGAGGCTCTGTAGAGGCATTCAGCTTCTCCAGGCTTTTACTTGCTGTGACACTCGTTAATGGGTTGTGCTGTGGCATCCGGTGGACCTTGGGCAACTCCTTCTGCTCCTCAAAGCTACAGGAAGAAAACGTTCTTTCCCGAGGCTCCACATCTTCACGCTTCGGAGAGGCACTTGCCACGTTTGCCAGTTGGTCTTGGCAGCTTAAAGTCGAGCCAACTTTGGAATGTTTTTCTGGGACAGCCTGATCCTCTGCACCTTCTGCTCTAGGCAATGCTGCCCCTGATCCACAGGTTTTTTCCTGGGCATCTATGGAAGATCTCACTGAGTGAACATCATCGCTCCTGCTTTGGGCACTCGTCTTTATTCCTACATCTGGAGAAGATTCTTTGCCAAAATAGCGACCGTTGCCTCTGTCCAGTTGCAGGGAGAGGCTTTCTGACTGCTCCTGCAGCACTGGCTGTGCAATTTCCAGCTTGATGTTGACGTGAGACACCGGGAGAACTTCTTCCAGAGGAAGCTTCCCCTTCAGCAACTGCATCACCAAAGGGTTGTTGGTCTCGATGGAGGACATGGGCCGAGCAGAGCTGGCAGGACGCTCGGCTTTCTGGGGTCCCCACCTCTGAGGTGGGGGTGCAACCAAGTCCCCAGGACAAGCTGGACTCTCTGTCTCCACAGACAATTTTGACCTAATCCCATTGTGCTTCTCACTGTTGCTTTGACAGGAAGAGCCTT